TCAATAAAATGATAAATATGTGGGTGTTTTGGAAAATTACTTTCCAAACGACTATTGTACCCCTCAACATGATTGTTTGTCCTTGGTAAATCATTAATTATTGCATCATGCACATTCCATATATTAACCTCATATAAACTAATATCTGCATAGGTTTGAGCTAAATAATCATTGAATTCAGTAGCATTAACATCATCTGGGGTGTATAAATCCATAATATCCGTCCAAGTACTTTCAACAATGTCGGCTGGTATTAATGCTAAGCCAATGGCATCAAGAAACCAATGATCTGCCTTTTTATGTTTCGGAGAATTTTTGTGTACTCCTCTACTGAATATCCGTAAGTTTATATAGGATAGTGAGCTTCTTTTTTTAAGCATCCTAAACGGCTCTAAATTGTAGCTGTTTATATATTGTTAATTATTAATGTTGGTCTTTTTATAAAATTTATTAAATAAATTTAAAAGCCGAATAATTTAGCCTATGGGTGCATTTGACGGACGAATCAAGAAAAAAATTTTAAGAGACGAAATGAGAAGGGACGAATCGAGAGGACACCATGTAAAAATTATCATAAAATGAAATGTTGTGTAAAGCGAAACACACGTATAATCATGGAATAGCGAAACATCGACTGAGGACTGGACTGCATTTTGAAACGTTCCCTAGAAAGTGATACTTTTCAAAAATACGTACACTTTTATTCATCCCATTTAAACGAATATTTTGCATGATTTCTAAGATTATTCATTCGATATTGATAAAAACTATGTAATTCAGCACCAGCTTTAATATCGTATATATGTTGTAGAGCTGGGATAAGCACATGTGGAACACGCACGTGAGATCATGCTAACAGTCTAAAACTCTTAGATAATTCTACTTTCCCCTCAAACCAAATAGCCATGCACTGCTGATTTTTCATTTAAAAATTAAATTATACGCTTCTTTACGCGAGCTTTAACCTTAGCCAATATGAAAATGAAAACTTTTTTTATACAGTTTTATTCATCATATTGAAACGAATATTTTGGCGAATATTTTGTATGATTTCTAGGATTATTTATTGACGCTGACAAAAACACTGGGTGATTTAACAATAGCTTTAATATCGTATATAAATTGTAGAGCTGTTCGAGTATATAAGCACATGTGGAACACGCACACAAGATCATCCGAACAATCTAAAACGCTTAGATAATTCTATTCTATTTTGTCCTCACACTACAAAGCTATGAACTGATGATTTTTCATTTAAAAATTAAATGATACGCTTCTTTACGCAAGCTTTAACCTGAGATAAAACTGAAATGAAATTTTTTTATATTAGTTCGTTTGCAAGCTTGAATGTTCACGGTCTACGTTAGAGACAAATATAATTTAGGACAGTTAGTACACAATGTCGTATCGCCATCATACCCTAAATTAGAATATAAACGAAAGAAAATAGAATACGTTAAAACATATAAATATTTAGGTATTAATATCCGTACAAAAATGGGATGGGGTAATTTTATAAACGAAAGAATAAAAAAGATAAGAAAAATTTATAAGGCGCTGAGAATAATGTTTTATATAATTCCAAAAAATGAAATACAATTAAGGAGAAAACTATTTCTTTCGTTTGTCCTACCTCATTTCATGTGGTTATTTACTATATGGTTCTTTTTTACAGATAAACAGAAGCAACAAATAGAACATGTATATTGTAGCGGTTTAAGAATTGTGTATAAGTTAAGGAATTTCGACGATATAACTACCTTGATTTTGAGTAGAGAATACTCATTAAACGATTATATATATAATTACTGGATGAAATTTTCAAAACATCTTGACGAATCAACTGAAGCACTCTCCTTTCAACAGACATGGACTGCCTTTTTGATTGCAACTACCCCATCCAAGTCCTGGTATAAGACCTGCGGTTTTAGAAAGGATAGTAAATTTCCGAATCGTCTTGCCCTGAAAGCTCAACACACACTTATCGATTGGTTTGCATTTGAAAATCTGCATAGGACTCAATATGCATCCTTTAAATCTTCGTCTCTTCTATCCATTTTTGTGTATAAATTCTATATTCAACCATTACTAACTATGTGATTTTGTTAATGGGATTTTATATGGTTATATCGAACTGATTGTGAAACAAAAAATGAAACAAAAATGGAAAATAGAAACAAAAAATGTTTTCCTGTTCTCCTTTTATGATTTTCTTTGAATTAATGAATTTTATTTATATGTATTTCTTATTGTTAACTTCATTATAGAACAATAAATTTCAATTTATAAAAAAAAAAAAAAAAAAAGAACTCAGTCCTAATAAAATAACCAAGGCTTGATTATATTAATAAATATAATTTGAAAATAGACGCTGGTTCACAAATTGCCACTATTACTAATGGAAAAAACGAGATCACTGCTAGTATTATCAGAAATTCAGATTCAATTCGATTTTCAGTTCGCCTAATAAATTCTGTCGTTACATAGTTGGACACCCGAAAATATAAAATTTCTCTTCATTCGCTTCAACAGTAGATCCGCACTAAGTAATGCGGCTTAAAAATTCAAAAATTCTCACCAAACTTGAAAAAATCTGAGACAGTATAATCTTAGTAAGATCTTAGAAAAGTCTTATCAAATCTTAGAATTTTCGGGGTCACGGTCCTAGTAAGATTTGTTTAAGATCTTAGAGAAATGTAAGCGAAATCTTACTAAGATCTTAACAAGATTCGAGTAAGTTTCCCTTTTATGCATTGGGGTGAATAGAGATACTCGTGTAATTTCTTCTTTTACTAAACTTGTTTTAATTATTGTTGTAAATGAATAAGACTAAGGTCTAATATCATTGCTTTGTGAGTGATCTGCTGTCGATAACATCATACCATCTTGTATATGGGTCCTTCAAACAGGGCATATGTCGGATAATTTACTGTTATCTTGGGTAGTTTCACAATTCTCAGATGATTGTTTCTGCATTCGATAGAGGAGATACTTATGTAAGCCATAAACAGAAGATTTTATCAAAGTTGTCTGTCCCTAGTTATCATAATTAATTTTAAATTTACCTGGTAATTTATATGTAATCAAGGTCGCTGATTACGAATATGATAGCCGTTTGTGCCCGTAGACCTTTCCTAGCGTTTTCCCGGAGAACCGTTTTTCTGGAAATCCTCTGAAACCCTAGCAATGTTTTATAAACATGTTGGGATTGTAGCATGGAAATTTTGCACCAAAATGAGACGCTTCCCAGCTCTCCACGACCTTTCTCTGCTAAATTAATTTTCCTTCTCTTATGGCCTTCTCCTAATTTCCTAGAGCTTCTCTTGTAATTCTGTAACTTTGCAAAGAAAGGTCGTGGAGAGCTGGGAAGCGTCTCATGTTGATGCAAAATTTTCATGCTACAATCCCAACATGTTTATAAAACATTGCTAGGGTTTCAGAGGATTTCCAGAAAAACGGTTCTTCAGGGAAACGCTAGGAAAGGTCTATGGGCACAAACGGCTATCATATTCGTAATCAGCGACCTTGATTACATATAAATTGCCAGGTTTGAACAAAATCGGAATACCTCACTTGGGAATGTTCCCTCGTTAGAGGCTGTAGAGGTTTGTCTCTGAGAACCCCGTGTATTTCAATGTCTCTATTCAACTCAATGCATAAAAAAGGAAAAAAGAGAATCTCTAGTGCTGTTGATTATATGTTAATTAGCTTAATGAGTTTGAAGGATAATGAGCTCAAAACCATAGGATGGAGAGAGGTAGGTCCAGGCTATAAAATGAGGTATTTTTGAACTAATTATCTTTCAGGCTTAATTAACCAGGAATTGTACTTTAAAACTCCATGTATTTGAATAGATTGTCTCTGTTTACCCAAGCGTACAAGTGAAGGATCTCTGGTTACCCTTACCGGGATAATTAGAGACACTTGGATGGAGCTCCTCGCATTTTGGATTTGGCTCAAAATTGGTTGGTGATTTTCAAAAGATTTTTACATGAACGTGTAGAAAACTGTTCGGTTCACCACCGTGTTCAATAGCAAGGTTTTTTCGCCCCAAAACGGCCCACAAACAGCAAAAAACCGACGAAAATTTCAAACTATTGTCTCTAATTATCCCAAAGTACTCTGTTTAACTTTCAGCTCTGCAGTGTTCAATTTTTTATTGTTGTCTCGACTTTGGTCTTCTTTCTGTCTCTTTCTTTCTTTCTCCCTCTCTTTTCTTGCAGCGTTCATAATCTCTTTTGTACAGTGGTTGAAGAAGAAACAAAAAGAAAAAAATTGCGAAAAACAATAGAGTTACTTGATTAAAGAGCAAGAGATCAAAATTAGGGATAAACATAAACCCTAAACAAAACAAAGGAGAGAGACAAAGAGCGTCCATTATTTTGTCGGACACTTGTTATTAGACTTTTTTTCTCTTTTACATTTTATCAATGCAGACCCGAATTTTCCGTTACTTCACGTCGATTGTTGATTTCTTTTTTTGTTGGACATAATAAGCAACAAAATGAATTTACTTGTTTAATAGAATAATAAAGATCGTTCAAAACTGAAGACTCTACTGCAATAACTATCTTTAAATGCGAAACGATAACTGGATGATAGTGTTACTACTCTTGTTGATCAAAGGTATGTGCCGAATTAAAAGAATTGTCAACGTTGCACTGATAAGACGGCATGGTTTAGCGGTTACGTAGCTCGTCAAGTACTACAAACGTACTGTATTCGAACCTCGACGCCGCCAGGTCATGTAATAACCTTGGGCAAGTTACTTATGTCTTAGTGTCTTGAATCATCAGTCCGACAGTATACTCACTACGTTGAGCTCCTCTGGCTAGTTCACGTAGTTTTTCGGAACGCTAGTACGTGGTTAGTGACTGTGTATGAGAAGCTCAAGTAATCGGGCGAAAATAATTCTGCGTCAGGCTAGCTCTATGTTCAGAGCTGTGATTGATGTGATAGTAACGAGATGGGTGACTATATCAGAAGTTTGTCAGCTGCAGGGAAGATATCAGGCTATCCAAACTACCATTCGGCAGCATCTATATCGGAAACAGTAGCTACAAGGCGGGGTATCCTCCTTCCATTCCTGGTACCAGAAACAAAATACCACGGAAAACTCTAGCCTTTGAGCTGAACTGTTTTTACTCAAAGTATTTTATAATATTCAAAAAGAAAACAAACTGTCTCATCGTTTACTTTTTTATCTTTTACCTTTACTCATAAATATTATTTTAGTGACGTTGTCTCTAAGTAATCAAAAGTTCAAAATCGTATGCTATTTTTCAAATTGGGGTACGTGTTTGACAGTGAGATGTTTCTTTCAATGCTTGAAACGTGGCGAATAATTTATCGATATTTGTAGCTTATCAACGACCCGGTAGCGGTTCAATGATTCCAGAAGACATTGATCCATGTTTATGTACCCATATTATTTACGCATTTTCTGAAATGGACAAAAATCAATTGACACCTACTGAAAAATATGATACTGATGATAAAGAAAACGAACTTCCAGGTAATTAAAAGATTTGAGCACATATTTATGTCCTATTAATAAATATTATATGTCATTAATTTGAAGGATTTTTTGAACGTTTTAATCAATGGAAAGAAGTAAATAAACATTTGAGAACTTTATTAGCGGTTGGTGGATGGGTGAGTGAGTGTTAAACTGGCCTTGTATATTAGACTATAAGATTGTAAAATGGTTTGCTCTCTTTTAATTTCAGGAAATGGGTATGAAAGACTTTTCAGGTGAGTTATTGATATTAATATTCGCAAAACATACAACTTTATTTTTTTTCTTATTATATATAGCTATGGTTAAACAAGATAAAAATATCAAAAAGTTTGTTGATACAACAATCAAATATTTGAGACATCACAAATTTGATGGACTCGATTTAGGTATATAGACGAATATTTTTCTTTTTTTTATTGATTTACATTTTTAACATTCTTTATTTATTCTAGATTTTGAGTATCCAGGTATTTGTCTGACTATGATATTATTTTTGAGATGAACTTTTTTTATCATATTTTATGTTTCAGGAGTTGATTGGAGAGGATCAGAACCGGAAGATAAAAAGAAGTTTACAAAATTGTGTCAAGTAATGATGTAACCATCTCTCTTCCAACAACTAGATTGAATACTTCCTTTTGTGTAGATGTTATTTGAAGGTTTCAAAAAAGAAGCAGAAGAAACCGGAAATGAAAGATTACTTCTTACGGCTGCCGTCTCAGGTGCCAAAGTAAACATTGATAAAGCATATGAAATTGATTTAATTACACCGTAAGTTGTTGTTGTTCGAGTGATTCTCACAGTTAGAGCAATAATCATCAACGACTTTACGTCTTTTACCGGTGAAAATCATTTCATTTTGAAACTAGTATTTGAACATATTATAAAGTTTATCAGTTATTGATAGGTATCTTGACTGGTATCATCTAATGACGTACGATTATCACGGGAACTGGGATACGAATGCAGGTAAGCATATACCAAAATTTATTTTTCTTTATAAATAAAAAACATATTCTCCTATTTCAAGGCCATCATAGTGCATTAAATGGCAAAGAAAGCAGTGATCAAATGCATATTGTAAGTTTTTGTCATGATGGTTTATCTTGAACAGATATGATTTTTTTGATAAATAAGAAAAAAAACCTTGTTCCATAGGATTTTACCGTAAAATATTATGAAAAATTAGGTGTTCCAAAAGAGAAATTATTAATTGGTTTAGCTACGTATGGTCGTGGCGATACTCCAGCAATGCCCTATACTGGTTTCAAAGGAGAAAATGGTTTTATATCATACTATGAGGTATGTTTATTGCCTATAGTTGAAACGATTTTATCTTTACTCTAGTATGATATCATTTTCAATTAGGCATGTACACAGATTACATGTGAAAAATTTAAAGAAACATGGGATCAAAAACAGTTGATACCGTTTGCTGCTGGTCAATATAATCAACCAAAATTCGGTTTTGATAATGTGAGAAGTATGAAATACAAGGTAAACAGAGAAAGTGCTACATTATCGGTTCAACTGTAGTTTGAAACAACTTATTTGATATATAGGCTAATTATATAAAACAAATGAATCTTGGCGGTGCTTTCTTTTGGACGATTGATAATGACGATTTTACGGGTAAATTTTGTTGTCAAGGCAAATTTCCACTAATACGAACAGTTAAAGCAGTATTACACGGTCAACTAAAATTGTTACCACCGGAAAAACTTTGTGAAACATGTCCGTCAAAAGAATATAAAGGTGAGATTATATTTAAATTTAGCTATGTGTACCATATTATTCGATTGTTGAAGATGTCAAAAATATAAAAAAAACAACGGAAAAGGCAAAAAGTAAAAAACCTTCAAAAACCAAACGTGATGCAACATCTGAAGCACCAAGTATGTAATAGATTCATTGAGAAACCTATTATCATCACAAAATGACACATGACATCTAGGTGCTGAGGATGTATGCGAAGAACATAATGAAGGATCATGGCCAGATCCATCCGATTGCACCAAATATTATCTTTGTCGAGGCGTTGGAACCCCATGGGGTGAACAAAAACGAGAATCATGCTATGCTGGTTAGTAATATGACCAATAATCCTAGCCGCCGGAATTGAATATGATTAGAATTTTAGGTGCATATTTTGAGCCGAATGAAAAAACTTGCAAATGGGTTGGACAAGATAAATTGAATTGTGAAGAGTTGATTGAAGGTTTTGAGAATGGTGCAGCAGCCGCGGCAACAAAAGCAGCCTCGACAAAAGAGAACGAAGATGATGATGACGAAGACATAACATTAGATTCAAATATTACTTCTAAACAAAAAAAATCATCATCATCATCACCATCTAAAAAAGGAAAATCCTCAACAATAACTCGACGAAATGCATCAGAATTCGATACATGCTTACCGGACAAACCCGTTGAATTTGATCCAGTTCAAGGTAATTACAGAGTTCTTTTTTTTTTTGTTCGATGGCATGGTTTTCTCTCTCTTTATAAATGCATGAAACGTAAAATTTGTAGACTTTCTGATTTACTGAATCAAAGTGACTTTAGCTTTTTATAGGTATGCTATGTTACTCTTGCGAAAGTCAGAAAGAGAACAGCGATTGTCAACTACAACCAAATTCCACCAGCTCGACGCAAATGTGCGAATCCCACCAACAAGTATGCTACAGCAAAAAAATAACATCAGGAGGTAAATATACTCTTCATTAATCTATATCAAAAAAGATAAAGTAAAATTTGAATTGTTTTTGTTTCTTTTAGGTCGACTAGCACAGTATATACGCGGATGTTCAATGCCACCATCCCAAAATATCAGTCAACATTGTCTAAGCAAAGAGAACAAATTAATATGCGTGAAATATTGCAGAGACAGCTTATGCAATATACACACCGACATAATAGATGGAACAATAAGTTTGCTAATACAACAAAATTATCTCTACAAATATCTTCTTCTTGTTTTTCTATTAGTACAAATTCAGTTTTGAACATTATCATTTTTATATTGCCTTTATGGCTGGTGATATTTTAGAAAATGAGCATCATTTTGTTAGGTTCTTTTCTGTGTAAATAAATAAAGTTTTCTTGTGGAAAATATATAATAATATAGAAAAGGCTAGTTGTCAGAAACACCTGGAAGAAATAGTCATGTTATTTCTTATAACAAAAAGATAAACGATTACTAAAAGGTCAATTACGCGATAAGTTATCTTGTGCCAAATCAAAAGAAAACTGCTACATATCCTCAGATGCAAGGATATCAAGTTCTCTATCTATTTGTGGAATCTTTTCAATTGGTTAACACCATTAACCTTCTTGACAAATGTTATTTTTCAAAGAAAAAACATCTTTGTCTTGAAAAAAAAATGTCAATATTTCTAAATCGGCATTTTCAACTTAAAAGGTTAAATTAAATCGTTTACTTACTCTTTTTCTAAATACTTCACTAGTGAAAAATAAAATTTCCTTTGTTTTTTTAAGTGTATGCTTCGAAAAGAGAACATACATATCTTTTTTTCTGAATAACAGTAACTGACCGTTTTTTTTCAGATTTGCAGTCATAATTCCCCTTATTATAGAATCTAAAAGCTAAATCTTATCCTTGAAACTCTGTATAACCCTGTTTCAAATCTTAACATAAACTTTTTTCACTCTAGAGTAGAATTAGTATACTATGTGTCTTTGTTTGATTTGAGGAACGGCAGGAATTACCTGAATAAATGATCATCAAGAAATTATAATGTCACTTTTTCTGTGACCCTCGTCATCTTTAACACCTATTAGAGTTTCACTACTAATACATTCACAACCACAGTGTACATAAAATGTATGAAAATTTGAGTATAAAACATTATTTTTATTTCTTTTTTATGATTGAATATAACGCGTCGTCTCGTATATATAATTATGACGATTTTTTCCAGTTCTCCGTTAAGTAAAGAACAAAAAAGCGTACACTATTTTCATTATCGAAAATTATTACTTTTTGGTCTTATTATTCAATCTTCTTCTGCCATACATACATTAACTCCGTCATATTTTTGATCAAGCAAGCAAACAAACATTAAAAATCGACTGAGCATATGGTAAAAATGAAAAAAAACGAAAAAAAATTTCTTTTTTTATGTTGAGATATTTTTATTTTCTGGTGAATTTCGTGTTTTAAGTCAAAGAAGAAGAAGAACACTTTTTTCTTTTTGTTTTTTTTCTGTTTTCTCTTCTCTCTTGATATTAGGGACAATCATATGAAAAGTAAAAAACCGAGTCAGAGAATTTTCAGAATATGGGCGATGATACCCTAGACACAACAGCATTAATTATGTAAGCAAAAAAATCAGTTTATTATGTAATTTTTCTCTCTTTAGTTTTTGTCACGTTAGAGAAATTTGATCTTTGACTAGGAAATTAAAGATGTGATAAAACAGTTTTGTTTGTCTTATATTTTCGTCATAAATGAAAGCGATAATATCTGTTCATATTAGAAAGCTTGAGTATGAACTTCTATTTACAGTAGTGCGGATGAAGCCTTAGTAAAGTCTTTTGTTACAATCGAACCATGAAACTTATTGAGGGTTAGTGAATCACTGTATTTGGCTGAACCAGTCAGCCAGATGTATTCAGTTTTAACTGTGAACTTAAATATAGGATGTTTCAGTTAATGTAAACATACAATCGGCAGTATCATCCACGTAACAATTACATTCTACTCTGTGAAGAATATGAATAACAAAAAGGGAATCCATTCAATTTCATCAGTACCCTTGACACTTGTAAAGATTTGATGGAAAATGTGTATTGAGAGCACAGGTAACATAAATTCATCCATTTTGAAGGCTATTCATTTAACACATACAATCAGTTCTTGATAGGATCTAGGAACTATAGAATAGAGTTATCTACATTATGTGATGTCCCCAATTCATTCATATATTTTTTTCTTCAGTTGAATTCTCACGATCATCACAGCATTAAAGATAGTTTTGGCTAAATTTTTATGCATTTTTAATCTCTTAGTTATTTGTGGCTGCTCGAGATAAAACGGTGTTTCTTTTACTTTCAGTTATTTCATTGCAAAAGTAACAATATCAGTTAGATTTCTTTTATGCTCTGTCACTATTGTTTCTATCGTTTTGACTTATCAGCTGTGTCCTTTAGGGAAGAAAGAAATCTAATCCTAAGAACGTGTTCACTCCATACGATGAAAACAATTATTAAACTTGTTTTCGTCTTTTCATCTCAGCTACATATATCCATATGAAACCTACCACTATTACACAGACTTTCTGCGCCAGAAATGAGGTTCTTCCTAATCAACTTGAATATAATTTGTATTTGAGAATCAGAAGATGATTGATCATGTAGACTCCAAGATATTTGCATTTTTAGCCTCGCTCTAAAAATAGCATGATTTTTTTCCGAGTTTTCAAGCCATTTTGATCGATTCAGATTGATTAAGAACATAACAGGATCCTCTCAAATTCTGTATGATCGTACGTAATACTATAGTATCATGTAGTAAATAATAGGTAATATTAGTATAAAACATTGTGTTAGTTGTAAAATACGTGACAAGGGCATGCTAAAACTTTGTAACCTCGGAAGTCCCGACACGAGCCTTTCTCTTCCACTCGATCCAATATTAATTCAATGCGACCTTCATTTTTTTTCTGGAAATTTATGTTCTCAATATTTTTAGTATAACATAATATAGTACAAGTGTTTTAGTGCATGAATTTCACATATGTACTATGAAGCATTCCAGAATTTATGAAACAAAATATACTAGTGGACTTTTTGCCATACAAAAGTACAGTTAAATTTATTTATTGTAGAATTACATATATTTTTGGTGAAACAAAGCGTAGCAATCTTTTCCCTCTTTCACACATAAAGCAATATCACAGGTTGAGCACTCTATGGTAGGTTTAACTGGAATATGGTAAGTACTACAATAAGCGCAGCGTCTTTATGTTGTCTTTCTTGACATGTGCTGTGGGGCTTTCGAAACTTCTTCTTTGTCTTTGACTATCGCATCTATTCGGGATCTTTTTCTAAAACTAACATTCGAGGGTCTGCTGACTATTCAAATAATCTCATCAAGTTGAGCTTTGATTTGATGTCAATAATATAATGATAGATACTTTATCGATCAAACTTGCCGGTATCTTTCATATTTGTCGTGTAGGCCACGGCGATTAGCGGACAAGGTATTTATTTCTTAGCTTTGCAACTACTTTTTATTACAAAAAGTTTCTTAGTACAATAAAATGTCTACATATTCAGTCAGAACAACTCTTGCTAATTAAAACGATACCGTATTTATAATTATTCAATGCAGATAGCTAAGGATAGTAATTTTATCAAACATGTGTTCTAAATATAGGCCTACCGATTCCAGTGAGCTAAATAGTGTCTCCAATTGTATGTTGAGAATTTGAATTGTGTTCTATGCAAGGATCTGGAGACACAGACCAGGTTTTGATATTTTTTCTTTACTCAAATGGAACAAAATTTGACAAAAACTATTTTGTATAAACAGTATTTATTAGTAAACTCGAATATTTTATCTTGATACTTCAAAAACAGTTAACTAACTTCTCAATTACGACCTGCGACACTAAGCTTGTATATTACTTTCTACATGATGTTATAGCATTACATACGATCATACACCCAAGTCAACGTTCTTGCTTCTGTTGCGTCGCGAGTTGCGATAAAAAAACGCGACAAGTACGCGTAACGCGGTCGTAGTTATAATCGAGATATAAAAGTCTTACAATAGTTAGAAAACATTCACACTCGGAGGATGAGATCAATATGAGTTTGACGCTTAACACCAGATCGTTGAATGTTCTCTGCATAGATGTAGGAGAACTATGCTCTGATTAGATACATGCAGAGAACCGATATTGGCGCCTGCTACACTCCATAAGACACACGTGCGTGACACACAGACACACGTACACACGTGGACGTATTACATCGAGGTTACTCATTAATATATCAATCCTGACAGTGCATTTCTCGCTTGGATGCATTATTATTCTGAAACTTTGCACATTCAACATAATTAATTGAGGCTATACAGAGTAAAATCACTGACATTCACTATATTTAATTGAGGGAAAGTCTTTTATATTGTGAAAGTAACTTTAAGAGAAAATCAGATAGTTTAACCCCACGACAACAAAAAAGGGTTCAACATTCCTCACTTTCGTTTAGAAATAGCAATTTTTAAATGGTATACACACAGCCTGTGTGCATACCTATGAGTGATTTATTTGGTTAAATAATAAATTCGAAATAAGTGTAGTGATAAAGATTGCATAAAAAAACGCATGTAAAAAGCTCTTCACTCTACTATAAAAAGAATGAAGAATGATCCGTTATCGATCGTGAGTCTACACGTTAAACGAAAATGTAATCACGTGCAACTGGAAAACACAATTCTTCTATTAAATTCTTTAAAGATCTCGAAGTTTAAAAAGGAAAAGAAAATCACATGTATCGATCATCGATTTTGTTTTGTAATTCCTGATATATATATAAGAGACATGATTTTTTGCTTACGGAAACTTAAACTTATTCTTACAAAGATCTCTTTATATAACAACAACGTGCACACTTCAAGAACATATTTGTTCTTGACAACAGAGTTCTAAAATTCGACTCGAACCCTACGAGTCGAGTACATACGGCATCTGAAACTTGATTCGATCTAGATGGAATCGGATTCCAAACATCGATCGAGGTAGGATATGGGTTACACAGTTTTTCTCCACTCATATAGGTCTTCAGTTGACAGTATTTATACAGTATAAAAGGTACTTCGGCAGCTGATCATAGTATTGAAAGATGGCTGGCGACAAGACATAATAAGATTCAGCTTTTTGAAAAAAAGCGAAAAACAGAAATGTATTTTCCGATCTGATGTTTTCTGGAAAACCAATGTCCCAAATACAGATCTAAAAAATGAAAAACTCAGTTTCTGTTCTTCCGGAAAATTAAAAAATCAGTTTTGCAAATTTCCTGAAAGCTCACATCAGATCCCTATTTGGGACACATGAAAAACACAGTTTCAGTTTTCTGAAGAAGTTGGTTTTTTTTAGACTATATGTCTGTACACACACAGAAACATATTTTCTCTCTTTTCTCTCGCTACACAAATAAGACTAGAACGAGATGATTAGAAACACAAAATAATTAAAAAACCGAACTAAAATGAAAAGAATCCATCCCGCGTTCTTTCAAGGATCAATCTACACATCTTGTTTCAGCTGCTCATTAATATAATCGAAAATCGAGACTCACGCTGTGTCCCGTTATAATTTTGAGGTTGCAGCAACCCCAAAGTATCCATCGTGTGTTATATTATGAATCTCTAATGCACGAGTCGCGCCGTGACTTTGAAACGTTTTGATAAAAATTGTCATGTTGTGAGTCGCAATAGCGAATCATGAAGCGCGTTTTATGTCTCGTGCGCGATCGTCGACAGACAAGTTGTCCCTTCGCGATTATGGAAAATTCTTAGTTTCAATAATAAGAATATACCGCGATCCCGAGAAGATATCAAGGTTTTGTAGCGAAACGTGAATTAAGGTTTTTACCGCGATCATGTTGCGACGAGCACGTTCGTGGCATGAGTGAGGCAATAGTGTTGACTTAGACAGGATTTGAGAGGATCCTGTTATGTTCTTAATCAATCTGAATCGATCAAAATGGCTTGAAAACTCGGAGAAAAATCATGCTATTTTTAGAGCGAGGCTAAAAATGCAAATATCTTGGAGTCCACATGATCAATCATCCTCTGATTCTCAAATACAAATTATATTCAAGTTGATTAGGAAGAACCTCATTTCTGGCGCAGAAGGTCGATGTAATAGTTAATCAATTTACAAAGCTTCAGAGCTCCCCACAATGTTAGAAATATATTTCTTATCATATATAATGTTTTCGTGAAATATCCATCTATAATCAGCTCAATCATATCGAAACTTTTTGCGGGATACTAGGCTTCTAAGATCATTTACTAATTCTCAGTTTATAGATCCTTTAGTTGATAATTTTCTTTCTAGAAGTGTTTCGTTTCGTAACCATAAAGTTAATATTATCCGTGTTTTCATTTAGAGCATTATGTGTGACACTTCCTGCTATTATAGCCATTATTGTGTGTGCAGTTATCTACTGTGCATATCGAAACAAACGTCGAAAACCCCATACAACACGTAAATATTGTTAAACAGCAGCTGATATGCAATACATTTGGGTCTTAATAATAAACAGCTCATATTTTACAACAGGATAAATTTTAAAGATGTATGAGAATTTTCGACGATTTTCTTTTTTAATTTAGTGTCACTGCCCATTCAAAGTAATTATTTACGAGCAAATAACAATAATTACCACAATGATGGCTCTCGAGCTACAACTCGGCAACAACGGTCAGCGCCACGTGTTGTCGAACAATTACCACCCTCGTACAACTCCATAGGACATGCAAGACGGCAATTTCCACTGTTAACTCCAATTACACATCCTAGAATAGATCGCTCGACAACGAATATTACACCCTCGGTGTATAATGCTATGCCTCCAAGTTATGCTGAATTATTTCTAACGTCCGAGAATAAAAGATGATTCTTAAACGACATAAAGGTCAATAATCAAAATTGTTTATTAAAAACGAAACTACTGTGCTCTATCTATCGTCATGATTCGGTTGAAAGGCTTTTTTTGTTGTAGATTGTTTTTGTTTTCTATTTTTATATTATGTAGCTATAACAATTAAGGTCCAACAATTCAGGAATTTGATGTTGATTTTGTCTCGTTCATTGTCAAAATCAATAAATATCGCTCTGTTAGCAGAGTCTACACCAGTGGAGGAAGAGGGGTATATTCGCACACAACCGATGCTAATTCTTTGAACTAGAAAAATGTGACTTTATCTGATCGTAATGAAAATCCTTCTGATTAGTTAACTTTCAAACTTATCGGTTTTCATATGAGCGCATCATCATAGATGTTATCGGATATAGATCAACGGCAAAAGAAAAGAAGAGATTATTCTTTTGTTCATTCGAACTTGTGTATATAAATTACAAAAATGAGAAGATAGCCGGAATTGATATTTTTTTCTACAATCTATGTCTCGAAGATTATAGGGTGATTGTTCTACATGTACTGCTGAAAACGATCTAAAAGTTTTTGTTCGAGAAAAAATGTTTCTGCACATCGTACTGAGGAACTTACAAACTGTGTATCTATAACATATATGTTGTTTTGGTCGAAAGAAATATTTATGTGTTCATACAATCGGTTTAATGATTATATCGTGTTTTAAACTGTTTCACAAAAAATCAGTCAAACAAAAGAAAAAAGTAGACTAAAAAAAGTAAAAACAGCTTTAACAAAAGATTAAGCAAACATTACTATTATTATTTTGTACTCACTAAATTGCGTGATTCTTTTTTGTTTTGAAGTTATTATGATTTGTAAAAAATTGTTATTGGAAAAAAAATATTATTCGTGATTATTTATCATGACGATTATATATACGCGCTTCTAAGGTGGATTTTAAAAGAATGCTCTGAAAAGTGATTATTTTTTTAACAAATCTAAATTATCGGGCTCATTTCTCTCTTTTATGAAGATAAAGTTTTAAAAACCTATTATACTGCTCTCTAAAAAAACATATTCTCAGAAACACGTAACTGGTTCCCAAAAATGGAACTAGCTCCAAGGAAGCTCTATTTTTTAGAGAGTGTCGTAGTGGAATATCCTGTACCCAATATCTTGGGTTAAGAAATCTCACAAGATATTGGAAAAAACACCAAGAAATCAAGATCTTGAATCCTTGAATCTTACACTTAAGTCCTTGGCCAAGATCTTGGGAGCAGAAAGGACCTTGTCGGATTCCAAAAGTATATCGAACCAGAAAGCTATATATCAAGTTTTGTAGAGCTTCCCGCGACGGATCTAAATCTGTATTGGGTTTGGTTTAATACCGTCTGGTTACCGGGATATGGGTGTCACCACGTTCTTGGTCTTTAATCGGTATTGATGTAAGAGAAAGAGTCGAGATTTGGTAATGTAGTACAATGAGATGTTGTCTTACTTATGTTCTTGTAAAACAATGAAAACTGTACAAACTAGTTCGGTAATTGGCAATAGAGGCTGGTTCTTCTAGGAAAAATGGGTCATTTACGAAAAAACATCGATCACATCCATATTACATGTGCGAAGTAAAATAACTGTAAAATCTAAATAATATATAGAACCAAATTCTAATTTTGTCGAAATCTGCCACATTCATGTGGAGGTCTGAAATCCATCTACTTCTATGGGAAAAAAATCTTTACTGAAAATAAGTATACCAGAATAGGGTATATTTTGGACTTAAACTTGTTTTTTTCTGATGTGATTCACTTATCAACCAGTTTTAACACCATATTCGTAATCTGCGAACAAAATTGAGTCGGACGAAGTATTATACATATGGTCAAAACACAAAAAAGCCTTTTCGGGACAAGAAACCCTAAGGACGATCTTGATGGAGCCTGTCTCACGAAAAATACACATTTATCAGTCAGTCACATGTAGTTTTATAGAGTGTTGAATTCTGAACAAAATGCACTCTTTAGATTCAGCTTATGTTACAAAGGAAAAGTATTTAGACGCATTTTATATATAGTATACAGGACGATATTGAACGTCGAAAGGTTATTGACCAGAAAATCTTGCCAGAAAGGGACGTAAGTTTCCGTTTATACACGATTAGGTAGCCCGTGAAATTTTCTACAAACTGAGCTAGTTAGAATATCTGGACTGGTGGGATCAGTCACAAAAGGCATGCAAAGAAAGCGTTGGATTACCGAAAACAGCTGCAGCATACTCTTTTAGAAGTCTTTTCTGTCTTAATCAAAAACTATATATTTTTCAAAAGGATACCTTTAGATCGTCTTTGAAATTCTTTGCAAACTGAAGGATCAAAATATCTGAACAGGTGGGGCCCAGTCATTAAAGATATGGAGCGTTTGGGTGTTATATATGCAGTACCGTGTTTCATAATCAGAAGAACTTTGTTTTTGATTTTTCAGTAAAAACTGGAACCAATCTTAATACTATTTTGAATAGCCCGAAGATTTTTCTATCAAATGAGGTGCATATCGTCATTTTATGAGAAAACTTGAGAATAGGGTTTCTGGAAAACCTGAAGGCTAGAAAACCAAGTTTTTGGTTTTGGTCAGAAAATTTTACGAACCATATGGCGTTATCGAGCAAAGAATTATGAGGAAAATAAGACATCTCCCGGCTGTCTATAACGCTTTTTCACCCAGCTGTAGTCGATTTACCAACGGCTACGAAGGGTGTGAAAATTATCAAAATGTTCCGATGAAAAGCGTTAAACAATTTTCATTGTAAAAATCCGTCAGAAAAGATCAGTGTACTTTTAGGACAAATTTCGGATATTTAAGAATCCGTGGAAATCGTTTTTCGGATCCACCCACATCCATGCGGATCCACCTGGACCCACGCGGAAACCCCGATCCGCGCACCCGATTTTTCCCCTTAGGAAAGACGCCAGAGGAGGTTTTGGTAATCGAATCGAAACACAGCTCAAAAAGCAAAATTTTTACATGAATTTTTGGGTTGAAAGCTTTTTAAGGTAACAGAAAACTGAATAATTTTCAAAAAGTTCGAATTATATATTCTTTCAATAGCGGTTTTATTACCCGAGAACAGATAGATGAAACAACAAGGAGATTATGGCAGTCGAAATGCCTGTTTTGCGGTTATATTAGGTTAGCTCTTGTTGAAGAAAAATTTTGACTAGAGTCGGAGCGAAAATAGGGCTTTGGAGCCAAACAATTAAAAAGAATTCTGCTGGGTCGAGACTCAGATTTCATTTGACCATAGGCACCTTTGTAAGTGTCAGATACCCAAGCTAACAACTAAAAAATAAACCTCAGTTTGGTTAAACCTACAACAGCTACTGTTTTATTAAAAATAATTGGTAAACAATGCTAGTTTTAAACCAGTAGTAAAATATGTCCTTCAGTTAATAAAAAGTGACAAATATATGACGTTTAAATAATTCGCTTTTTTTCTCCTTCCAATGTAATAATGCATTTAATGATAGTGGTACCTGCCAGTTGTAATGAATGGTTGGTGAACTAGACGCGAAGAAGAAGAGGAGAGAGCGAAAGTGAAAATATACTATAATTAAACGAATAATTAAACGAAATATGAAATTATATTTCAATGTTGAAATATTTTGATTCGTAATGAAATATGTTAAGAGTTGAGTTCCTTCTTCTCGGAATGTAAGAAAAGAAGACAGATTTTGTGTTTTCTCCAGAAGAAGCGAAAGAAGTGATCTGAAAACGAAATCTCGACACGACGATAGAACTTAAAAACCGACAAAACAAGGTCACGTTAACACTAGAAAAATTAACTCAGTGTTAAGAAAGATGACTGGTCCAAAAGTTAACTCGCAGTTAACTCATGTTTTCAGCATCATTTAACTTTAAGCCCTCCCCAGTTATAAATGATTTATGATAAGCTCAGTAACCAATACTATGGGTCCATTAAACAAGGGAGGTGGCACCACTCCGGTGGGGAAACAAACATCTGACTCTCTACTCAATTTTTCTGTTTGAGCTTAGGAAGGCATCTGTAGAACGTAAATTCAAACCTGTCGACTATTAGCAAGCCGCAACCTTTGAGAGAACTGAAGCCCGCAAGCAGCGCAATTTAAGGGGAAATATCAAAGTCTTAGTACTGCATTAAAGATTTAGATGTGAACGCTCTCGAAGTTAACTTCGAGTTAACTCTGAAAAATTTGTAGTGTGAACGTGACCTAAAGTTTTAATATATAAACTGATACATAAACATTCACGTTTTAAAGGACC